CTCGGAGACAATGCATGCTGTAGATGGGATATGGAGATGATAGAGACCCTGTGACTCACGTCCTGTGCCAATCATCTGTCCCGTGTTACGATCCTGTATAACAACAAAGTCAGTATCAAAACGAATAGAGCAATTTAAAGAGCGGGTAAGTTTACTGACAGACACAAGATTAAATGGACATTTGGGAATATAAAGCACAGAGTCTAATGCTAAGGAACGGAGGGGTTTTGCACATCCAATAGCTTGAACATCGGCTTTAAACCCATTGGCTAAAGTAACAGGAGGTAAAGATACAGTATTTGTAATCTGAGTAAGTAAATGAAGGTTACCAGAAATATGATCCGAGGCACCTGAATCTAGGACCCAAGGTCCTAAAGTGGAAGATTGAGAAAGGCAGGCAACTGAATTACCCATTTGAGCGACGGAGGCAATGGATGAAGAAGACTGCATACTGGCCTGATACTGTAAGTATTCATCATAATCAGTACCTGTGAGAGTTAATGAGGGTTGAGCTAACATTGTAGAGGACTCAGAATGAAGATCAAAGTGATCAGCTTGAGCAATATTAGCAGCTCGGGTAGGTCGACCATGTAACTTAAAACATTTCTCTCTGATATGCCCCCACTGATGACAGTAACTACACTTGGGCCGATTTCCCCTGCCACTTCGATCGCCCTGTTCTCGAAAAGTGTGAGACTGAGAAACAAGGACTGAAGAGTCACCTGGGGAATGCACAGTAGTAGGGGAGGAAACCCGAAGTAATCTGGCAAACACTTCATCAAGGGAAGGCATGGTGGATCCAGAAAGAATTTGATCTCGAACAGGTGTAAGATCTGGACCTAGAGCTGCAAGTGTCAGGACCATAAAGAAATTGTCCCGTTGAGCTAAATCTTCTGCCGCAGATTTACCAACTGGTAATAGCAGATTGAATTCTGTCTTAAGGGAAGCCATCTTACCAAGGAAGTCCGACATATTCATATCCTGTTGTTTGAGATGAACTAGGTTGGACACAACAGAATATAAACGTTGAATGTCATTTGTATAGAGAAGTTTAGCCTGACTTTAAATATCAACACAAGAGCGGTAAGATTTGTAAATAGGGTGAAGAAGGGGATCAATAGTTCGCCATAACATACTACACAGCATAGCATCAATTTTAGTCTAGGAAGACTTATCTAACGTAATATCATCAGCTTTGGTGGTCAAGTGATCCTTCAAACCTTGACCCATACACCAAAATTCGATAAAGGCAGCCCATGATGAATAATTAGCAGTCCCAATTAATCTCTCAGTGGTGATGGGAGGAATAGATACAAAAGAAAAACCACTTGGATGCGAAGGAGAGGTTGTTTTTGAAGAATCCATGAAGTCTTGAAACTGACAGAAACACAGAAACTTACGCTTGCTAGAAAAACTGAACACTCATCGGAAAACAGATCGGAGCAAAAGCTGACGGAAACACCTTGAAATGGTTTGCCGATGAGGTGGAGAGGAACAAGATGCTGGTGGTGGTGAGAACTCACGCTCGCCTGAAAAACAGATCGGAGGAGGGGCTGCCAAAAAAACGATCGGCGCGTGCAGCGGTGGCCTACAACAAAACCACTCGAGTTAGGACGACAAGCAGAAGACGATCAGTCCAGTGTGATTGGACCAGATTCTGATCGTTGCCGGAGAACAGTCGTCGAAAAAAAATCCGAGAAAGAGAGAAATTTTTTTGAAATTTCAGACACCAAGCTCTAATACCATGTGAAGAAATATTTTCTTGTATTTTCATAATGAGATGTACAATGAATTTATAGCAAAAACAAAAAACTAATCTAGGAAGAAAATAATTACATTCCTAATATAATTGATCTGATTCCTAACCTAATATAGAGAATAATCTTATTTCCTAACTTCATCACCTATTTTACACTTCAACATATTCCTAAAATTTTGAAATTCGTTTTTAAGTTTATTATTTATTTTGTTATAAGGTTTTATTATATCTTTTCTACTTGTACTTCTATTAACAGGGGTATATGCTGGACAAAATGCAGTTTTAACCATATGAATAAAAAAAGGATTTTCAGATAAACAAATGGGAGAGTCTGTAGCAACAATATATCTTGTTATTTCCTCTCGTGCAACATGTGTATTGTATTACCATGTTAAGAGAGTTGAGGATTGTGAATTAAAATTAAGTTGAGTTTGAATTTGTCTACTTGATCCGCTTGAAGATGCATCGAGCAACTGTATTATTTGGGGGTGCTTCTTCTCCACGTGTTGTCGCATCATTGAAGTCCCTTCTCAACGCCAATAATGGTTCCATAGAAATTACATATCCCACACGATTCTTCCCCCTCCCCATTTGTCTTTGGGCGTTTTGATTTGGTGAAGTATTACCATACATCGGACACAACCCTCTTTGACGGTCGGGGGGTTGGGCTATGCCCGTGCCTGTTAACTCGCAGCTCGCATGTGTTCGGCTACACCTCTGTTAGGATCCCACATTGAAAGGGAAAAGGGTGGGTATGTGGGTTATAAAGGCTTGGGCACCCTCCCTTGGCAAGCCGGTTTTTCAATGAGAGTTCTACCTAAGCCCATGAAAGACCCATGGCCCAGCCCAAATTGTTGAGTTATTGGAGTGGGTTCCTATCAATTGGTATCAGAGCATGATCATGCGCCTATGTGGCAACGCACTTGTGGCAGGCTGACCTTGGGCCCAGGCTGCTACCCCGAGAAAGGGCATGAAGGCCCGAGGGAAAGGGGATCCACGTAGTCACCCAAGGGGTAAAGAGACCGACGAGGGTAAAGAGACCGACGTGGACGTCGGTTGCGGAAGCGTGGTGGAATGTTAGGATCCCACATTGAAAGGGAAAAGGGTGGGTATGTGGGTTATAAAGGCTTCGGCACCCTCCCTTGGCAAGCCGGTTTTCCAATGAGAGTTCTACCCAAGCCCATGAAAGACACATGGCCCAGCCCAAATTATTGAGTTATTGGAGTGGGTTCCTATCAACCTCATCCCGACCGAATGTGGTTGTGGAATTGTAGCTGCTTCCTCTGGAGGAAATGGTGAAAATAGATTGAAGCCTTCCATTTCTTCGGTGGATGGAACATAAAACTCATTTAGGGAAGTCATTATAAATTTATGATAAAATAATAAATAATTAAAATGAAAAGAAATGAAATAATAATATGAAATTATGATGATATTGAAAAATAGAAAAAAATTGAATAATATAAAATTATAAATAAATTATATGAATAAATTAAAAATATAAATATAAATTGAATGAGAAATTGATTGGAGATTTGGAGTAGAGAGATTGAGAGAGTGAGAGATTGATTGGTGTGGAAAAAATGAAAGATTTTAAAGTTATTTATAGTTGGGGGGTAGGGGGGAGAGTGAAAAAAAAAAAAGTTATAATTTATATTATAACTGTTGGCTGGCACGTGACCGTTGCCAGCCAACGATTAGTAAATTTTTTTTTTTTTTTAATTTTATAAAATTTTATTTTAGCCCTCGTAATTTATGTTTATTTTAAATTGATAGGGGTTTTATGTAATTGTGTAGGAGACTACATTGAAAAAATCCAAAAAAAATTGGGCTCAGGCCTGGGACCGGTCCCAGGCTCATGCCCGGGCCCTCCTCCTTATGCCTGGTCCTGTTTTGGGGCCATACCTCCTAGGATCGGTCCTTGAGGTTGGGCTTTTGGGCCCAGTCCCAAATGCCCACCTCTATAAACATTAGTACAATATTTAATTAAATGATTAGAAATTTAATTAATTATAATATTAAATTATAGATTTATAGTATGATTGTTTAATTAATTGTTTGTGTTTTGGTTTTAATAGAGGAATTTTATGTGAATTATGACGAATTGATTGAATTCAAGTGTTGCCTAGAAATTAGAGGATTTATGAGTCATATTGGACACAAATGAATGAGTAATCAAAATTTATTAGGAGTGTATTTGTAAACTTTTAAGGTATTTTTGTCATTTTTTTAACTAATAAGGGAGTAATTGATTTTTTATAGGGTACCTAGGAAAAGAACCAGAACCTGCATTTTAGGTTCCCACTTCCTTGAATTTAAGAACTTGCACTGTGCGATTCTGGTTCCTTTTTTTGGGAACCTGCACTGTGTAATTTTAGTTCCCGTTCTCCAAAAAAATTCAAGGTATTGGGAACCGCTCACTCCTAGATTGTAGGAATGAAGATAAGTAGAGTAGATAGAGAAAGCTTCAAAAACTTCTTTCTCCAACTCTCTTTGTTGTTCTTTACTCTTTCATTTCTTCTGTTTAATTTTTAAAGCTCTTCCGATTCTTCAGCGTTCCTCTAATCAAAAGGTACACGCCTTCTACACCAAAACACACACACATTTACTCTTCTTTTTTGACAAAATCCTCATTTTCTTCTCTCTTATTAGCTGTGTGCCCCACTATTATATGCACCTCCACGACCATCACCACCGCAACAATGACCTAGGGTTTGAACTCCTCTCACTTGTTTTTTCTCCTCTTCTTCGAGTTGGATTCTCTCTCTTCTTCAAGTGGCTTCGTTGATTAGTGTTATTTTTTGGGGTTGATTAGCCTCGTGTCTTTGATTGAAAACTGTAAAAGGGATTTGAATCTTAGAATTTAGGAATTTGAGTTAACCTAGTTTTGTCACAAAACTGGTTGGACCGGTGGTTGCTACAGTAGCACCAGCCCAACCGCAAGTCGAAATGGGTTAATTCTTATTCCCGGTTTTCTACCTTGACCGGCCCGGCTAAGCCACCGGTTCCTGGTCGAGTCGGTCCGGGTTTTAAGACCTTGACGCTACCGTAATGATAAGAAAAGGGCTTTAATTGAATTGTACAACAGCACATATATACAAATATAAAATTGATGTTACACAATGTCCCAACACAATTAAGAGACCCAATTACAGTTTCTGATTACTTGCTTCAACTAAAATCACAAGCAATAACTTCAACTATAGTTTTCCCTTTTTCTTAAGAGGAAGGCTTTTGTTCACTTTTTTTTTTTTTTTTTTTTTTTTTTTGTTTGGGGTAATGGTTGAAAATGCCGTTAATTCTGAAGTTTCCGCACATAAGTTGAAGCTAAACATCGTATATAGACAGTCTTTCTTCAATAAAGACACGGCAGATGGGGCACTTCTTACATTTCTCACTGCACGTGCTGCCATAAAAAACACGACTGTCAATTCTCTAAATTCAGATTATCCAGAAATTGAACAACTAGGTGTAATATCAGGGATTTTACATCCAAGAAAACAACAGTATTCTAAAGGTATTCTTCTTTAGAAGACAACGTTTAATATTCAAGAATGGCTTCAATCATATACATCTTCAGATTACCTTAAGCCATATGCAGTGTAAATTAAAGAGGAAGAATGTACCTGCATAGGATGTGATGCCTGCATGGAAGCAGGACTATGCTAATCTGTTCTTCAAAACAAACTCTACATAGGATCTTCTCCTGATACATTCAACAATAAAAATGTGAGCCCTCCTTATAACTTACCTTGAAAAAGAGAACCTGAACCAAACACTGCAAATGACTTTTTTGAAGGTCACAAGTTTGCTCTTAAATACAGTACATTTTGAAGTCTTTCGTACTCTTGCTGACTAAACTTCGTGATTTCAGTTTGTTCACTGAGAGCACCCTGTAATCTCCAAATCTGCAACAAAAGATAATAATAAATATAAAAATTAAAGGTACTACCAAAGATAATAAAACAGTACATAGACATTTTAATTAACTTGGATATCAATAAATGCGCGCTCAGATAAAAACAGTAGCTAAAACAGGAAGAGCACTAGGAGAAAGAGTACAACTTAATCATTCAATACCGAAACATTGATTATGCAGTATTTACCTCTTCAACAAGTTCCTTTTTGGGCATTTTTTTCACAACATCGGGTGAGAAAGTGTTGTATCTGAACAATAACGATCAAAGGAATGATTAGGCAAAAAAAAAAAAAAAAACACTTTCAATTACCTCTCAACAACTGCGTAATAGTACATCGATACATTATTAATTAAAGCTTCAAATCAAACATATTACAAAAACTATCAGCCAGCTTGAAGAAAACAATCCTTAAACTGATAGGCTCAGATGTACAAGCAGTCAAAAGCAAGCACACACCATTTGTCAAAGCAAATTATCAATTAATTTGTTAAATCCACCATGGTAATACTAAGGTACCATTTTTCCTTAACAGATCACTAGAAATTTAAAGCCTCAAATAATACAGATCCGTAAGGACACAAGAAAAATCGGTTTCATCATCACTAACTCTCCACACTAAACATGAGAGACTAGAAAAAATAATTAAAATACCCCTAATCCATACCACTTTTTCCACTGTTCTTGGCATTTGACAACCTGGTGACAGTTAAATATGCAATAAGTGATAATGTTAAGCTTGTCGTCAATGCCTCAGTTACACAACTGCAACGAAAATGTTTTCACATTCTATATAGATTCAAATATAACAGAAGTCAGAACCAGAATCCTTGATATTTTATGTATGCATGCATGCGCATGTAATAACGTTCATTTGCATATATACACTGGCTGAGCTCTTATCACTTGGGGGAGGGGGTTCATAGTGCAAAAAGAAATAATTGGGACGGCTGAAACATAATTAGGACAAAGATTTTTATGTAAATACAAATTATTTTAAAATGTAATTGAGACTAGGAGTTGACTTAGCTCTGCCACAGAATCTATATATGCATATTTATGTTTGTATTATGAGTATTACCATGTTAAGTGAATTTTTAATAAAATCTTCAATGACAGAACTCAGGGCACGAAAGTTTAATTTCAATTTTCAATTTTATGGAACATAGTATATGGAAAAGAAACTACTAGTTAAATCAGTGACGCATTCAAGCACTGGACTTTGCATGCATCATATCAGCATCAAGCATCTACCACAAAGTAATAATGCACTTGCTTAAAGTGTCAACAGTTTAGAGAACCAAATTAGGTTCTTAAAATCCGATCAACTACGAGGCCTCACCCAGATTGAGACAATGAAAAAACCAAGGAAGCACATATCGAGATTGTTCACATTAATGATAATTAAATTATCAAACATGAAGACACTGAGATAGCGTTTGATTTTCTATCAAAAAGTTAAATGAATCTGAATTTGTCTAAATGAATCTAGTTGTCCAAGTATGACTGATATGTTCTGTTACTATTTTTCTATTCTCATTTCGAAATAAAGAGTTAAATGTGTTTGCTTTTTACAATAATAGAAATTTGAAAACCAACATTTTGGCATATATTTCCTTATACTGAATTGTTGTTTATATTTCACATGTTACGAAAAACAATGAAATCAAAATAAGAACGATAATGGTAACAGTGGCGAGAATGGTGGTATTATGGCATTGATGAAGCTAACGAATGATGATGATGGTTGAGAGAAAGACATTTTGATGAAGTTAAAGGTTATCATTGTTGTTGTTTGTATGGAGGCATTAGTAAGTAATAGCGGTAATGGTGGTGGCGAGCAAGATACAAGGTTTTGAACAAAAAAAGAAGAAGAGGAGGGTGTGTCCTAGAAATAACCTTTTTTTTTTTCTAAGACAAAAAATTCAGATGTTTTTTATTCATAAAAAAGCCATAATTAATGCCTTTTTCTAGTCAGATAAAAATATCTAAAATTCACCATTTAGTCAAAAGGATAACCCAAAACATCTTAATGACCCACATTAAGATACATTAGACTTCTGTCAAAAAAATAAACAACTCCTAAAATGTAGTATATGAAACAAACCCAGAAGCCTCGGCACAATAGAGTCGAGCCTGTTCTTCTCGGCTTCCTTCATCAATTGACCACCAACCCAGCAACCTGTAAACAGGAATGAACCACAAGCAATAGACATTAGAAAATGTCTTACTGTTGTCCCTTATCTGTCCAGCAGGGATCTAAGGCCATTGAAATTTTGGGTCACATTATAATAAACCATTACCTTGAGCCATGATGCAAGAACTCCAAGCAATCGCGAGCTTTTGACACAACAGTCAAGCATCTTCCAAAAGCATCTCTGCCACGTAATAAAAGAGCAATCTTCTCAATCACTCTATATGCAGCATACAAAACCCCAGCTCCTTGTATCAAAAAAAGAGGAGCAAAAATAACCCGGAATGAGATATGTCTAGCACCAGATGGTGTTGCCTGAGAGGACAGAGAAGCACTTTAACTTTAGAACTCATCAAAAGCTACTAAACTTATCCACAGATAGGCACTTCTGAAATCTATAATACCTCTAAATGCATAAAAAGTAGAATCTGGAAACAGATGAATGGGATTTTCATAATATGTCCACCAATGTCTTGTAGCTTGCATATTCTACTGCTCTGATGCCGGTCATCATCAGCAGAAACTACTAAGCCTCTATTATGGTCAAAATATGTTATAGACAATGAAGACAAACTGGATTCTCCAATGGAAGAGTGCCTGTGAATTGCCGGATTGTACCACCTTGTGCAAACAAGAAAAGCAAAGCACTCTGCAATACTGTCAAAGTATATACATTATCCTTCTAATACTCATATAGACACAAAAAAGATAACTCCAATCATCAAACATTGCTATAAAGACCACTAAATTTTACCCAAAATTTATAAACAAATCCCACCAACCTAGGGCAGCAACATCACCTGCATGTGGTTAATGAAAAAAGTTAGGGAGAGAAAGATAATCCACCGTGAGGATAAGCTTCACACAAGTCAACCAGTAGTCCAGTACCAAATGATATCGTGAAAAAATATGTTAGTCCAATANAACGATGATGATGGTTGAGAGAAAGACATTTTGATGAAGTTAAAGGTTATCATTGTTGTTGTTTGTATGGAGGCATTAGTAAGTAATAGCGGTAATGGTGGTGGCGAGCAAGATACAAGGTTTTGACCAAAAAAAGAAGAAGAGGAGGGTGTGTCCTAGAAATAACCTTTTTTTTTTTTTCCTAAGACAAAAAATTCAGATGTTTTTTATTCATAAAAAAGCCATAATTAATGCCTTTTTCTAGTCAGATAAAAATATCTAAAATTCACCATTTAGTCAAAAGGATAACCCAAAACATCTTAATGACCCACATTAAGATACATTAGACTTCTGTCAAAAAAATAAACAACTCCTAAAATGTAGTATATGAAACAAACCCAGAAGCCTCGGCACAATAGAGTCGAGCCTGTTCTTCTCGGCTTCCTTCATCAATTGACCACCAACCCAGCAACCTGTAAACAGGAATGAACCACAAGCAATAGACATTAGAAAATGTCTTACTGTTGTCCCTTATCTGTCCAGCAGGGATCTAAGGCCATTGAAATTTTGGGTCACATTATAATAAACCATTACCTTGAGCCATGATGCAAGAACTCCAAGCAATCGCGAGCTTTTGACACAACAGTCAAGCATCTTCCAAAAGCATCTCTGCCACGTAATAAAAGAGCAATCTTCTCAATCACTCTATATGCAGCATACAAAACCCCAGCTCCTTGTATCTAAAAAAGAGGAGCAAAAATAACCCGGAATGAGATATGTCTAGCACCAGATGGTGTTGCCTGAGAGGACAGAGAAGCACTTTAACTTTAGAACTCATCAAAAGCTACTAAACTTATCCACAGATAGGCACTTCTGAAATCTATAATACCTCTAAATGCATAAAAAGTAGAATCTGGAAACAGATGAATGGGATTTTCATAATATGTCCACCAATGTCTTGTAGCTTGCATATTCTACTGCTCTGATGCCGGTCATCATCAGCAGAAACTACTAAGCCTCTATTATGGTCAAAATATGTTATAGACAATGAAGACAAACTGGATTCTCCAATGGAAGAGTGCCTGTGAATTGCCGGATTGTACCACCTTGTGCAAACAAGAAAAGCAAAGCACTCTGCAATACTGTCAAAGTATATACATTATCCTTCTAATACTCATATTGACACGAAAAGATAACTCCAATCATCAAACATTGCTATAAAGACCACTAAATTTTACCCAAAATTTATAAACAAATCCCACCAACCTAGGGCAGCAACATCACCTGCATGTGGTTAATGAAAAAAGTTAGGGAGAGAAAGATAATCCACCGTGAGGATAAGCTTCACACAAGTCAACCAGTAGTCCAGTACCAAATGATATCGTGAAAAAAATATGTTAGCCAAATAAATACATGCACTTGAAAAGAGTTACTAAGATAAAATTTAATGAACAAGATGTTAATGTGAATAGAAACTTTGCAAGCATATGAACAATCACCAGGCCTAGCAGATGAAGACTTCATATGACATGTTATTAGGCAGGTAAATGCCTTAAAATTGAGTTTTTTTTCTTTTAAAAAATTAATTATTAGACTGCTTCATCCCTGGTTAGAACAAACTAACATTTGACAATGATGACCAGAACTTAAAATCCATCAATTGAGAATATTTTGCAATCAAAATAAAAACAATATTATAATGCTTGTAATGAGAGGGTGCTTGCCTTTTTGTCTCTATATATGAAGGAGAAATTCTTAAAGACTAACTTCTTTGGAGCAATGCTTGGCACACTAAGCTTTCATAAGATATACCAAGATTCCGTATATCGTAAAACACAAACCAGAGAATGTATAGCTCCATTATTTGATTATAAAATAACAATAAGACCCGAGAAAAACATGATAAAAAATCTAGATAGGGCTGCCAACATGGTGTTTGAACAAAAACATGGCCCGTTTTAAAGAAGAACAAGAACAGCAACTACTTATGACCTAGGAGCTTTGCCAATCAGAAAATTCGTCTATGACAACTGATAATCAAGCAGATTAACTTGCATCACGCAGGATATTCTTCCTCTGAAGAGAAGAATAAAAATTCTTAACTTAATTTATGAGTATGCAAAGCACCAAATAGAATGCCTATAGTAGAAGATTAACAGAATACAAAAATGTATTAACTAGAGGAGGCATCAACAAATCAACATTCGTATAATCAGAAATCAAGAAATTATAAATCTAATTGGTTCCACAGCAAATTATGTCAGAATGAATATGAACAGAGATATAAGGATCGAAAGAGTGCCATAATACATGCAATTTTCGTTCTTTGCAGATAAACAACTTACCACATAACTTCAGAAGAGTGAATATTGTTGCAGCAAGGAAGAAGATCATAGATATTGCAACCCAGAAGTGCTAGAAACCAAAGGTAAATAATTTAACATCAAAACTTTAGAGAGAAATCCAGAATATAAATTCTTAAAAGTTATAGCATCATGTAATATATACAAGTCAAGCCTTACACCAAACAAATATATATCATTATTGTTCCTGTACTTTCCCAAGGTAATAGTACTGCTTGCAAGAATAACTCAAAACTTAAGCTGCACAACATGTTATCAGAAAAAAAAGGATGGTCTTAGACATTGAATATCATCCTCTTTATTGCTTTCTCTTTGCATGAAAATTTTATTATGAGGTAAAAATCTTTTTCTCCTTTCTCAACTTCTGAATCAAGATATTGTTTAAAATGAAATTACACAAGAGAAAGCACAATTACATAAGAGAGTAACATCTGAATTCAGGGTTCGATAAAAACGGAAACGCCAGGCAAACTATGTGTGCCTGATCCAAATGTCCCATGGACATAATGAGCTTAACATCAATGAATGTTATAAATGAATTGTCAAGGGTATAATGTAATAGCAATGACAACTTATAAGCAGTTTGAAAAGGCAGACTTTAACACGTTACTAGTTTCCCAAGAACCTAATTTTAACATATTCTTATATTGTGGTGGAAGTACTACACAGATAGCTTACTAATAGCATACAAGGAAAAAAGAATACTATACATGTCACCAATATCATACAGTCAACTACAGCATGATAGTCTTATAATGCACAAAGTTGGTCATGTCAAGCTTCTTATCAGATATAGAGTACAACATAATATAGAATGTCATCCACAGTTCTGAACTTCAATTCAGGGTACATTATGGTCGGTACAAAAGATCGTCCAATAAGACTGCTGATAGATTGCCAATGATCTTATCTATATACAAGAAACCATCTAAGATGATAAGCCTTGCGATCCTTTGACCTTGGCACAAACAATCATGTCAGTTGATGCAAGGCAATAAGAGGATAAACAGGTTTCTATCATCTGTAAATATTTTTCTTGACACTATATGGCTAGTCATTTATTGGCAATGCAAAGATCAAAGCCATAAATTGTTTAGTCCACATATGCCATCAGGAAAGAAAAAGTTGTTTTTCCTAACTTCATGTGAGCAATGATGCCAACCTAGATTAGCATTTGTTCAAGCATTTCCAAAAGAATATAGTATCTACTGACAAATGTTTTAATTCATAAAACAACTAATGACTTACAGGAAGAGTTTCCCATATCGCTTCATCACTCAAGCTTTCTTCATCTCCAGGCATTAAAGCCCTACACATCCTATAATAAAACAAATACTTGGTTACCAAAGCAAGAGAAGAATTATTAAATAAATCAAGACCGGGTTTACTTTTGGTCAAAATGAAAAAGAAAGAGAAATAAAAATAAAGAAAGGTTGTTCGCTACAAGTCTCAAAATTCATTATTCAATTCCATAACAAGATTTCCAACTAACTCAAAATCTCAAAGGTTCAGGTTTGACAAGAATGTTAAGCCACTGAAAATTTATTTTCAATTTTTGGAGTATGTGAACAAAAGATATATAATCCTGAACAGAAATGGTAAAAATCACGTGGTTATTACTACAGTCAAATATTACACAACAGGTGTGTTGGAGTCAAAGTTGTGAAAATATTTAACTATGTATCAGCACAACGATTATATAAATGCTTGTCAAAGAAAATATTCAAAACACACAAACTAATGATAAACTTACTGGTTTAAAAATAATATACCTGATATTATCAACCAAAATAGCTGTTTCAAATGCCAGCAAAGGCACAAACACAATCTTCAAGTTTACAACTGCAGTACATTCACAGTGATAGAAGAAGTAAATTTATTTGATCATAACATTTGCAAAATGATTAAGACAGGTATTCTAACCAATAAACATTCATTGCATACATTGATTGAGGTCAATAAACATGTTTATTTGTGAACGGAAAAATTAACCAATGTAACAACTAATTCAAATAATCAGAATCCATCAGTGGTAACTAGCATCAGCAAATAACAAATAACAAAAAGACAAGAGATTTCTTTAAAAAGTAAAAGTTGAAGTTTGTCCCCCTGCAGTATCTCTAGAAGAATATGTTGTCAATGAAGTTGACCAAGTACCATAACTGCTCTCCAGATGTATACAAAGAAGTAACTCGAAAGCAACAAGCAATGGCGTTGCCATGACAGCATGATATGGGGCCCACTGTCCAAGAAAAAACAAGTACTTAACTTTTTGCCACTATACTTATTTAAAGAACAAATTAAATTTGCGAAAGCCTGATTAATTGCGACACAAGAAACACAACATACAAATAAGATTGAGATATTATGTCATACATGTCGATCATGAGGCATTGATGGAGCTGGTAAGGAAAACCTGCCTCGTGCTACAATTATGTGAAATAGCCATAAAGGAGAAAATGTAATCCTGCAGGATAAGAAAAATATTGAACACTATTGAATAAATCATCAAAAAGAAAAACGAAATCCTCTTCTGTGAACAACTACATGCAGGTACTGGCTATGCATCTATACATCCTCCGCCGCCAAAGAAAAAATAAACGCCTCCCGAAATAGAATTCTGGATAGAAGCAAAACTGCAATAGTCTTCTTAGTCTGCCAATATCTTCCATGACATAGACACATCATCTTTTTTTCTACATTGTAGGCCTACACCACATGTAATAGTGTGTTTACATCAAACTACAGACATGATGTCTTCATCTCTAAAACTTATCAGACTTCAAAGTTGAAATGCTAAACCACAAAGCACATCACCTTGTTAGAGTCCATATTTGGTTCCAATCTCATATTTACCAACAGTTTCTAAACAAACGTGGATAGGATCAACTGAAAACTTGGAGCACAAATGCAAGACAAAGCAGTGGTACTCAATGTGATTAGGTGCTCAGCGTTTCGAAACTTGCAATACAACCACATGAAACTAATCGAATTATGGAAGGCAAATTGCCGGAGGGACAACAGAATAATCTCATAATAGAGTGAATTGACTGAGTGCTTAATAGTACACAGAACTTCACTCCACATTTGATAAATTAAACATTAAATCAGCTTAATCTTGAAACGCGACAGAACCACAAGCAAAAGTTATGAATTGAAATATTGGCTGACATATCTGAAACACGAACTACAGGAAAATCTCAAACGAACTTGCTATTTGTAAAAGAGCAAGCAAGTAAATGCAACTACACCACAAACATTTTTATATGCGTATAAAAGTTTAGACAAAACCTACCAATTCAGACATTATATCATCAATTAGGTGAATTTCTAAGAATTCCACACCTCAAGGCCGCTTGTAAACGGAGTTTAATCCCACATAATTTACGAACACATAAAATTAACAACATAAAAAACAGAAAAGACTAAAATAATAAAATAAAGGAAGAAAAAGAACGAACCACCAAGAGTAAGGAAGTATGTGGTCAAGCTTGAGAACAAGCAGAAGCGTGAAGCAGAAGAGCAAAGCATGAGCTGTAAGTGCTTGAAGAGATTTAAAGACTCTCCTCCAGCTCATAACTCTCCTCTGAATCAACATATTAGAACTGTACAGAGATGAATTGCGGTAACTACAGAGGAGTGAAAATGAACTGCTAATTATCAGACGGAAATATCAAGAGAGCGACGTTTAAAAGCACAATATGGACAGAGATGTTTTTAGTTCATAACTTTGCTTTCACGCAGAAGAAACGTCTTTTTTTTTTTTTTTTTTTTTAAAAAAGGAAAATGAATAGACGAGAGTATCCATGTTAGTTAACTTTGATAATTGGATAATCATGGATAATTTGGTCCTCAGGAATAAAGTAGAACCCCTGGTGGAACCCACATGCGCATTTATATTATGAATTTTTGCTTCTAAAGATATTGCGGGTTTGGACTTTGGATAGGGTGAGCTGGAGGTGAAAATACACGTAGGTTGAAGGGGTAGTTATGTAAATGGACATCATGTCGGGACTTGGGAGCATCTGCTTCTGAAACGAAAGTGGAGTTGTATGTGGAATCTGTGGGCAATGGGCTCACACGTTTTTGCTTTCCACTAAATCACATTAAGATTTTAGTCAAATTAGTTAATTCCTTCCCTAAAATTATCCGGCTGTTACATTGGATAATTATTTATAGAGTAAACGACTCTTTTCCCACCCAAATAATAGTTTAATGATACTTTCTCTTACATACTTTTAAAATATCATTTTATTATCCAAATTTATATTCTATTTTTAATTTTGGCATCGTTGCGACCCCACGTCACCATAATTTTTTTTTTCCAATCATTACTCACCAAAACCCCTCAAACCCTACTCCTGTCGACCCTGCTAATTACTGACAATTAAGCAATTAGGATTTGCGCAACCGCCTCTTTCAAGTCAAATTCTGATCAATCTCAACTACCAAAATCTAACATTCTATCATTAAAAGACTTATCGGCCTCTCTTTTTTAAAAGTCTAACAGCTTAAACCGAATTTGCTTTTTATTCGCTGTTAGAATATAAATTTAAGTAATAAAGTGATATATTAAAAATCTGTGGGTGAAAAAGTATTATTAAGCCATTATTTGGGTAAAAAAAAGTCTGTCAACTCTTATTTATGTTATATTCTATGCCTATGGATGCTAACTGTAGTATGGTTTTTTCAATTAAAATTTGCAACTTATTATAGAATTCAAAAGTTAATTGCCTGATATAATTCGGAAGGATTTAATTATATTCTTCCAACTATGTGATATATTGCACCCACTCTTTCATGAAATATTTATTTGTAAAAGAGTCAAAATATTAAACTAAATAAAAAAAGAATTTATCACTCGACGATACACCATAATATTTTCTTTTTTCTTTTTCTAAAAGTTGTATTAAAACAAATTCTACGTTGTTGTTGTGATATTCTGACTCACTATTCTAGTTGGTTCTTTGTAAAAATGTATCTTTTTGAAGAGAAATATAATTGTGACAAAAGATGTGAATCACATAAAAAAAAAAATAGTCTTAACAGGAATCAAACAATATTACTATTAGAAGTCGAATATTTTACATATTATTCTTGGTTCTTCAAGGTTACGAGAGAATGATATGTCAAACATGGTATGTGATTTAGAAGTTAATTAAATACTATGTGATTGTGATTGTTTATTGGGTTCTGAGTGTTAAAAAAAAAAAAATTAAGTACTTTTATGTGAAGCACTAGGTTTATAGAGTATATATTCCTGTTGACATTACTATATTTACATCTCCTTTGTGAATATAGACAAATTATGTCAAAATCATATTATATATCACTTTTTTTTATAGTGATTTTATCTTCTTATATAGTAGTCTCAATATTTTTTGTTAGAAATCTTCTAATATACATGAACACATAATTAAATTTAGTGATATTTCACTTCTTAAAATTTTGTCCTAAATGATACCGATTTAAATATATGGTATTATTTTATGACACATAAATTTAGTGTAATTATATGCCTCAGATTGCAGCAAAATTAAGAGGATGACGTTCTGTTTTTGAAGATCCTGTAATAATGATAAATGGTTCTAATAATTGACCCTAACCGAAACTTGCAACCGAAAATTATACAAAAAATGGTTGAAAATAAGGAGGTGTTTGTCTAAGCTTATAAACTGGTCAAACTTGCTTATAAACTCTAAAATTAAGCTGACCCGTTTGTTTATAATCTTTTTGAGCTTATAAGCCAAAAAAAATAAGTTGGGGGAGGTATTTATTTTTTTTTTGGCTTATAAGCACTCTGCTTATAAGCTAGTTTGACCAAGTATATTACCACATTATCCTTATTTAATTTTAAAATTTCATAGTATACCCTTGTTTAATGTAGTATCCCTTTTAGTCATTTTATAATAAAATGTATTTATAAGCCATATTTTACCAAACACGTCAACTACTTATCAGTCACTTATAAATACTTTAACCAAACATGTAATTGCTTAAAATTTTAAATGCTTATAAGCTAAAATTACTTGTTGCTTATAAGCTAATTTTTATAAGCTTAGACAAACACCCCCTAAAATATACGAAGATAGTGAGGCCTAGAAAAGGAAGTGGGTGCAGACACAGGATGTGGCAAATTTTGGCGCCACAAACAAAATGTTACTAAAACACAAATTGTGTCATTGTTATGGATTCACGAAAGGGAGAGGCAGATGGTGCCTTATGCTCTGTCGCATTGTTATCATAATTGGATTTCCCCTGTTAAAATTGTCAATAATAATTGAAATTATTAAAATTAATCATTAGATTATTTAGTAATTTTGATAATTAGTGTAAACTTAACAATTTCTAAATTATTATCAATGATCAATAACTTACATATAAATTCAGGTTATAATATTACTGACAGTTATTCGATCAAGAATTAGGTAAGTAATATTATATCATATGTTGTACAAAAACATTATTGCATTTTACTCAACCGCTTACCTGTAGAAACTTCTTATAATATAGTATGTTATTGGTTTATCAACCTTCATTAATCTAATGTATAATGATAACATTGGTATGGTAATATTATTAGATTGATAACATAACCAATTATCCTTATATATATACATATAGAAACACTCCATTAATGAAGTTATTACTATCATAGATCGTCCACAAATATTTAAGTTAATGAGATGACAAGCGTGTTTGTATTATAAAATTTAATAAATTTTTATAACAAAAATAAGAGGCTGTAAAGATAAATTCATACCAGTCTTATTTATACCTGTTGCATTAATAACAATATATTCCGTGTAATAAATATGAAAAGTACTGTTTAAAAGAATGCATTCAAATAAGGTTATCCCTGTATATGTCAGCAAAATGGCATTAAAAAGGAGTTGAATTTAAATAAGTGAAAGTGGTTTTGATACTTTGTTAGGCATGTGGCCGATTTTGCAATATTTTTTACTTTGACATTATTATCTTTCAGGCAGTTTTAATCCTATCCCTTAGCCTATTCTGGAACTGTGGGTCCAAAAGGAAGCTTCGGAGCCAGCAAATGGATCACCGCACAGCTAAGCACCAAATTTTGATGTATTGTTGTAAACATTTTACATGTGAAAAAAGATATAATTTGTAGATTTGAATCACAATTTTTATTAAAGCTTTAACTTGATGATTTATATAAAATTATACTCTGTATATGCATGAGAACCACATTCAAATAGAGCGCCAATCATAATAAGGTAACAACATAAAATTTTGACTTATACCAATACAGAGAATTTATTATGCATACATTAAATGTAGAATATATATATATACACTTTAATAACTCTTAAATGATTAGATTGTAATAAATTGATTGATAGAAATTATGGCTTCGTTTGGTTCAAAATTTGGGGGTTTTGGGAAAAGTTTTTGAAAAAAGTTAAAAAAAAGTTAAAAAAAGTTGAATTGGGCAGGTATTACAATATAGGATTTATAAATTATAGAATGTCTCTTATGTTTGTTTTTTTACAAAATACCCCCTATAATAGAACATTAAAAGTTAACAAAAACATCCATAATCTACCCTCAAATACCCCCAACCGGCCACCACCATCGGAGGTGGCTGGAGTCACCTTATCGGCGTATGAAAGGCCAGATCTGGCCGTATTTGTTCTCAATGACGGCTAACAAACGTCGTGACCGACTGTTACGGCCAAAGATCTGGCCGTCAACGGCCATATCTTTGGCCTTAGATCTGGCCTTTTCCGGCCAAAGATCTGGCCGTCAACGGCCATATCTTTGGCCTTAGATCTGGCCTTTTCCGGCCAGATCCACCGTAGATCTGGCCAGAAAAGGCTAGATTGGCGCACTACCGGCCAGATTCAGCCAGTAGTGCGCCATCTTACCAGATTATGGCCATTTTTCGACGGTGGTGATCGGAATCTGGTAAATATGGATTGTTGGGGTGTTTTTGTAATTTAAAAAAAATATTTAAGGGTATTTAATTAAATTAACAAATTTAGAGGGTTTAAAAAAAATTGAATAATATTGAAAGTAATATTCCAAAAAATGAGGGCTCCGTTTGGTTCACAATTTTGTGTTTTTGAGAAAAGTTTTTTGAAAAAAGTTAAAAAAAAAGTTGAATTGGGTGGGTATTACGATGTAGGATTTACAAATTGATAAAATACCCCCTATATTTGTTTTTTTACAAAACACCCCTTATAATAAAACATTAAAAGTTAACAAAAACACCCCCAATCCACCCTCAAATACGGACAGCCGGCCACCACCGCCGGAGGGTGGCCGGAGTCGCCGTAACAAAAACATTAAAAATATTTAGGGGTATTTAATTGAATTAACAAATTTAGGGGGTTTAAAAAATGTTGAATAAAGTTGAATAATATTGTGAGTTTTTGGGTATTTTACTGTTTAACTTTTTTGAAAATACTAAAAGTAGTATTCCCAAAATCCAACCAAACGAAGCCTGTATTATTAAGAATGTTATATTAATGGAAAGATAAATTATCTTAAAGATACTGAAAATGTTTAGAGAAATGTGTTTGGTTGGTTGAAATAAATTGGTAAGTATGTTATATTAATATGTTTGGTTGGGAGAAATAAATTATTGGGTATATTATATAATTTATTAAATTATTCTCTTTTTTAAATATTAATCTAATGTTATTTTTTGAATAATTTTTTTAATCCCT